TAGCAGTAGTAGCAGTGGTGATCGTAGCAGTAGCAGTAGCAGAAGTAGCAGTAGTAGCAGTAGCACTAATAGTAGCAGTCGTAGTAGCCGTAGCGGTGGTAGTAGTAGTAAGATTACGAGGAAGAGTAGCAGGGGTAATCGTATTAGTCATAGTTGTCGTAAAAGTATCAGTGCTAGTAGTAGTAGTAGTAGTAGTAGTCGTCGTAGTAGTAGTAATAGTAGTAGTAGTAGTAGTAGTAGTAGAAGTAGTAGTAGTAGTAGTAGTAGTAGCAGTATTAGTAGCAATAGTAGTAGTAGTGGTATGTGCAGTAGTGGTAGTAGTAGTAGTAGTAGTAGTAGTAGTAGTAGTGGTAGTAGTAGCATCCGTCGTAGTAGTAGTAGTAGTAGTGATAATAGTCGGGGTGGTAGTAGGTGTAGCTGAAGTGGTAGTAATAGCAGTAGTGGTGGTAGTAATAGTAGTGATAGTGGTAGTACTGGAAGTAGAAGTAGTAGTAATAGTAGTAGTAGTAATAGTACTAGTAGTAGTAGTAGTAGTAATCGTAGTATTAATACTTGTAGTAGTATTAGTACAAGTAGTAGTAGTAGTAGAAGTAGTAGTAGTAGTAGTAGTCGTAGTAGTAGTAGTAGTAGTAGTAGTAGTGGCAGTAGAAATCGTTCGTCTCGTTTCGCAAGGTTTCCACGGGGGAGTCGCAAGTAACACGTGCACAAAATACATGGCGCGCTCTAGCGCTGCACCCGGCCGATCCTCGTGCCAGCCGCTCTACTGGCTGAGCCGGAGGCCAGGATGTGGGTGAAGCCTTCCTGTCGGGCCTGTCTTAGGCGGGCCCTGTCTCGATCCTCCCATGTCTGTGCAAGCGAGCTGTCGAGAAGATCCAGGAGTGCCAAAATGCGGTCTCGGCACCGCGGACGCCTCCGATCGGTAACGCGCCGTATGACACAGTATCTTTCGACAAAGTTCATGCTGCACGCTGGGCACACGCCGCTGTCGTCGATACAGAGGCGCACCTGCGCGCGCCGCTCGCGCGCGATCCGGCAATGCTGAAGGAGGGCTTTGTGGGGGGCAAGCGCTTTTCCACAGCGCGCGCACGGGAAGTTGCGGGGGCGGTTGCCCCCGCCTGCTGGGCCAGCGTGCGGGCCCAAAACGGACTCACACAAGTGCACCTGCTGGACCCACTGGGCCCAGTCAGGGCTGGTCACCACCCCCATCCACGTCTGGGGGGGCACCTCGAGTGGCGGCGTGCTGCGTGCTCCGGGGCTGCGTGTGCACAGCTCCTCAATATCTGCGGACACTTGTGCTGCATACGGTAGGCGCATTCCCTGCGGCTGGGTTTGGAGGAAAGTTCATAGAGGTCGAGGCCTGCGCGCCGCGAGCCGTCCGTAGTACTTGAGCCTCCTGATGAGGACCAGGCAGTCTATAAAGCATCGGCCAAACTTGGCACGAACCTGCTCGTCAGACCACTCCAGGGGCCCCTCGTGAGCGGCATCGCCCAAGATCCGCCTCAAGACTTTCATGCACGGGGCGCTGAGCTTGCGAAGCGCGGAAACTGCCAGGGTCCACGTGCGCGCGTTGCACAGCAGCCGCGGCATGATCAAGCTTCCCATCAAGTGGATGTTTAGACCTGGCCCCATGGCTATGGACCCAAAGATTTTCCGTGCCATGGGGGCGCATGCCGAGAAGGCCAACGACGCCCGGCGCCTAGCTTCAGGCACCAGGCCCCCGTTGGAGGCGACGACGCCGCCAAGGTGTTGGCACTGCGCGACGACGCGCATGAAAGTCTCGCCGTCCGACACCTGGATTCTGAGGCTTTGGTCGGACCTATGCTCGTCGAGCATTCTGGTGGGCCCCTTCCCGCGGCAATGGGCGATTGCTTCACTTTTCCCCTTCCGCCAGTTGATCTTCAGGCCGAAAGCGCGGAAGAGCTCATCGTCGACGTCGAGGACGGCCGCGATGCCGGCGAAGAGCTCTGACGGCGACCTGGCGGCTAGAGCTACGGCTTCGACGACGACGAAGGTGACCTCGAGGATCATGCCCTCATCGGCGGCCTCGTCCGCGGACGTCCAGAACGGCCTACCGCCGTCAGATTTGAAGGCCAAGAAGATGCCAACGGCTCGTAGGCGAGTCCTTATCTTGTTCAATGCCTCTTCGTAGACGACGCAGAAGATGTAGCCGCCCAGCTTGCAACCTTGGCGGCCGCCCTTAGCGGTGACCATCACTTCGTCCGCGCCCTCGATTGCGAACCATGCATCTTTGCGCAGGTTCCGGATGAGCGCGGTGACAGCCGGGTTCACCATCCAGCGATCGAGCGCGGCTCCCGATGAGACAACATGCGCAACTATATGCAAGGAAGTGCACCTGGTCAGCCCCAGGCTTAGCAGGTAACCAACTCTCGAAGCATCGACTGAGTGGGAAAGGCCGGCACCCGCCTCCCATCCGAAGACAATCTGCCGGATAACCCTGTCGCAGGCTTGCGCGAGGTCGAATAATATGATCGCGACCGAC